GTGTGTGGAAACCTTTCCTCCTTCACAGCTCCCTCCCACTGGTGCAGGTCCCGTCCCTATTCTTTTGTCTCTGTTGTTTCTTTTTTCTTTTGCCCTACCCTGGTACATGGGGGGTTTCTTGCCTTTTGGGAGGTCTGAGGTCTTCTGCCAGCGTTCAGTAGGTGTTCTGTAGGAGTTGTTCCACGTGTAGATGTATTTCTGGTGTATCTGTGGGGAGGAAGGTGATTTCCGCATCTTACTCTTCCGCCATCTTCCCGGAAGTCTCCCTAGCGTGTTTTGAATGGAATTTTATTTTGTTGACTTCACTCAGCAGTACTACATTACTCTGAAGATCCTCTGGGTTTTTTTCCAATTATGAAAATAATTTTTAAATTAATAATATTCAAATAAATGTCATATTTAGTGGAGGATTTTACCATGGATTTTAAAGGGCCATAGCTAACGTTGGCGATGATGAAAAAACAAATAGATCATTCAGCTTTGTGGTTTTTTCCTAAGACATTAATTGCCTTTATTCTTATGTAACATCCTGTTCAGTGTGTTGTAGTTTAATTACTTATGGAACTTTTAGAAATCCACCTATACTGCATAAACAGTGACCTATTTGTCCAGATCAAATATGTAGCAGCTGTTTGGTATTGGTGTGAAATTATAATATTTGATAGCACTAAGTCCTCCAGGCACTGCCATTAGCATGCATGTGCAAGAGCAGGGTTTTTACCTTGCTTGTAGGCCACTGATAAGATTTAAATGACTGTAGAAAATTTTTGCTCCAGGGCAAAGAACTCAATAGAAATCCATTTATATAACTTGTGTGTATGGTATTGAATGACACAAACTAGTAGTGGAATGTAGTCATTCATATGTAAAGGTGGTTCTTCCAGGGAGCTGCCTGGGTCTGATAAGGGGGAAAAAAAAAGGCAGTGCTTTTATAGTCTGTGTTTAAGCCGCCCAAGAATTACCCTCACAGATACTACTCATTACACTATTTTTCCATCCAGCAGGGAAATGTGTCCACAGGCAAAAGTATCTTTATCTAATGTTGAAGTGATTGTTGTTTTGCTGCAAAGATAGCTTCTGGAACTGCTGATGTGATCCTCGTAAAAATGCAAATTGTATTAACTCTACTGCTGCTTATCAGATGTGGGAACTTCTGCCACTAAGCAATGCAGTGTGATCAAAAGAAGGACAATTTACATCTTGGCTTGAACAGCATTTCATAAATAGATTTTTATCTTAACTATTCCACCTCTGCATTCTGAACCCATTTTAGAGAATAATTTATATTAAGGTTAACATAATTTACTTTAAAATATTGGGTATACGTACTTGGAGCAGTTCACTTTCACAATTTTATGGACGTAAATTTAAAATTACAGGAAGTCATCATTCTATAATAATCTATTTCTAATGCCATTCCAGTGGTTCTTATGGCTTAAAGATGATTAGATGGTCAGCGTGGATCTGACTCCTCTTCATATAATCAAGAAAAGAATTATTGCTTGATTGTTGTTTCAATATATTTTTTTTCAAGGAAAAGGATGTTGTTTTTTTGTCATTTGTGGTGTACCTATATAGTTTCTAACTTTTAAAGCAGGGAGCCATGAGTTTTAACTAGGTATCTGTGTGCCATTTTAATTCTAAGTTCTTCCTTGATGACAAGGTAAGGAGACAATGTTCTAGTCATTAAGAAATATTTCTTTTTCCCTTTTAGTGCCCCTTCTTTGTTGATGCCACTTCCTGGAACTAAAGGATCAGCTTCAGTGGATAAATATGCTGTGTTTAAAGGAATTGCAGCTGACAAGTCCTCTGAAAATACTGTTCCATTTGGAGGTAAAAACAGTTCATAAATTCATGAACCTATGAATGTAAATTTTTGTTTTTAGTGGTGACCTTTTATGGTGAATGTCCTTGAGCTATGATCTTAAGGTTCCTAACCTTAATTGGGCTTCTGTCTTTTCATCATAGAGCCTGGTGATAAATATAGTGCTTTCAGAGAACTTGAACAGACAGCAGAGAGTAAGTCTTTAGGTAAGTTTTTGTTTCCTTAAATGGATAAATTATTTCAATTTTTAATAAGAGATTTTTATGGTTCTTTCAGTAGCATCCCAAACATTCTTTTATTTTACTGTGTGGTTGTTTTTGTTTCGTTTTGTAGCTCTGGAAATTACAAGAAAGAAAAATGTGGTTCAGTTATTAAATAATAAAATAATTGATAATTTAGAAAAATTATTTTCTAAAATTTAGGGCAAACCCCAAATCAATGCAATTTCCTTTGAAGATAGTGCATTCCCTTTCACTGGAACCCTTCAAGCCAAGTTAGACTCCTGTGAACCTATTTTAACACCTTACTTGCCTTGGTTATTTTAACGCTCAAAACAAGACTTGAGCTTTTGGCAGTGCAGCAATCTGTGGACTGTGCCATAGGCAGCAACCAGTCTTTTACATCTCAAGATTTTCAAAATTGGCTGTAATTTAATGAGTAGAAGTGAGAGGGCTTTGTGTGCCTGTGTGGTTCCTATCTCTGATAGAAGGGCTTAAATAGAGTAGAAGGGAATGTAGAATGATAATTTGAGAGCCATATATGTAAAGTCATATTTGTGGCTAAATCCTACTAGAACCCTGTTGTGTAGGATTTAGATAATCCATAGGTCAGATGATGTCCTTCAAAGCTTAACCACGCATGCTGTGAAATTTGTATCCTCTACTGAGGAGTTCTTCCTGGAAACAGTACCACATTCTACCTCTCTATATTGGACAATCAAATTTGGAACATCCTTCCACAATCATTTGTTCTAACCCTTTTCTCCGAGCAATGGGGAGGGCGTGGGGAGGTGGGGGGAAATTACAGGAAAGGTAAGGTGTATGTGTGAAAGTTAAAATAGAAAGTGTACTGCTTAAATATCTCTAGAAATATTCAATCTTTTACAGCTCTTAGGTTCTGGAAATGTTTCCTTGTGTTTCATTCAAGCCTTTAGGATGTAATAACTTTCTTCCTCAATGCCTGTATTAGGTACTAGGAGTACAAAAATAAACCCCAGAGGAACTTCTGGTTTGTTAATTTGGCATTTACTCCTAGCAATGTTTTTATCAACTCTTGGGCCAAGGCAAGTTTGGAGTAAAGAGCATGGTTTAATATCAGTGTTCTTTATATACTCTGGTATTAGTGATTGTATGATATGTATGTTATTCCTGGGAAACACCGTGGTGCCACCAAAATGTAAGCAGCACATCTTAGCCCTGCTTTTGCAGTACTTTACGAACAGAATCCCAGATAGTTGTTAGCATTGTTGTGTGCTTGCTTTCATTCCTGTCTTACCTTTAAGGCTTTCCAGGGAGAGATGCCAACTTTGTTCATTTTAGGAGAATATATTTTTTTCTACTCTCATTAAAAATACAGGGCTTCCCTGGTGGCACAGTGGTTAAGAATCCGCCTGCCAATGCAGGGGACATGGGTTCGAGCCCTGGTCCAGGAAGATCCCACATGCCGCAAAGCAACTAAGCCCGTGCACCACAACTACTGAGCCCGCATGCCACAACTACTGAAGCCCACATGCCTAGAGCCCATGCTCCACAACAAGAGAAGCCACCGCAGTGAGAAGCCCACGCACCGCTTCGAAGAGTAGCCCCCGCTCACCGCAACTAGAGAAAGCCCACGCAGCAACGAAGACCCAACGCAGCCAAAAATTAATTAATTAATTAATTAATTTAAAACTTAAAAAAAAAAGTGGACTGAAAAGCTACCCATGAAGTCATATGCTTAATGTACCTCCTGATAAGCAATCTTCCAGTGTCTGCAACTAATTTATTTGCCCAAAAAGCCCCTGTGTTTTTGAACATGTAAACCCACCCATTTTTATTTCTTTTTAACCCTTTCACCCAGCTTACATTTCTAATGGAAACGTTTACAATTCATCAGTAAGTTTAGTTTGCTGTGGTGATTTCCTTTATAAAATAACCAAGCAAAACTTGTCAGTTTCACAGATATTTTAAAGCAGCACATCAAAAATTTAGGCTGTGACAAAATTGACTGCTTATTACCTTTTTATTTATACAAATAATACAAATATTATCAGTGATGTACTTGCCTAAAATTCTAGGGCAATTTTTAAAGTTTTACATTTGCTTCTCCTGTCAATTTGTGAAATTGACTTTAGTTTTATTAGTGGTATGTATAAAAACATAAAATACAGAAATTCTGACTGCTGTTCTTCTCTTTCTAAAATTTCCCTAATATTAAATAGATTTCTCTGTGTTGATAAATTATGCTGGTGAATTTGTTAAGTAGCTCAAATTAGGGGGAAAATAAGCTTCCATTATTTTCCATGCTTTTTTCTTTCTTTTTTTTTTTATAAATTTATTTTTAATTTTATTTATTTTTGGCTGTGTTGGGTCTTCATTGCTTCAGGTGGTCTTTCTCTAGTTCTGGCGAGCGGGAGCTACTCGTTGCTGTGCACTGACTTCTCATTGCGGTGGCTTCTCTTGTTGCAGAGCATGGGCTCTAGGCACGCAGGCTCAGTAGTTGTGGTTCGCAAGTTCTAGAGCGCAGGCTCAGTAGTTGTGGCACACGGGCCCAGTTGCTCTGCAGCATGTGGGATCTTCCCAGACCAGGGCTCAAACACGTGTCCCCTGCACTGGCAAGCAGATTCTTAACCACTGTGCCACCAAGGAAGCCCCCATGCTTTTTTCATATGATGTATCAAAGTATATACCATGTTATAAGCACAATATATTTAAAGCCTGCATTATTTAAGTGACAATTTGCAGAATTATATTTTGGTTTTACACACATTTTTATAGTTCATATGCTTCTGTATTTCACTTTTAGGGAAAAATAGAAATTTAAAAAATGGATGAAAAAATTAAAGCTTGTGTTTTAATTTATAACTCTCCAGAAATGACATTCATATTTTTAAATAATAAGTGATGTTAGTATAGCTATATTTATATGTGGTTTATCTCTGGTTTTCATTATCTGGTATAACCTAGTGGATTTTATGGAAGACCTTCAGGCATTATTCAAAAACTGAGATCATCTGTGTCCTAACCTTATGCCTATGAGTGATAACATTATTGTGATAATAAAGAATAAAAACCCCATTAAGAACCATGGGCCCAGATTTTTATTAGTATCTAACTGCATCTATTTAATTATTTATGAGAAATACCTTAGTACCTATTTTCTCTAACTAAAAAAAATAATTTACAAAATGCTGTCAGTAACCCCATCCTCAGAGTAGCACAATATAAACTAAAGTTTAAATCTGATCCTCAAAATTTTTTTAAAAACTTATTTATTATTTATTTATTTATTTTTGGCTGTGTTGGGTCTTCATTGCTGCACGTGGGTTTTCTCTAGTTGCGGTGAGCAGGGCCTGCTCTTCGTTGTGGTGCACAGGCTTCTCATTTCGGTGGCTTCTGTTGTTGCGGAGCACGGGCTCTAGGTGCGCGGGCTTCAGTAGTTGTGGCATGTGGGCTCAGTAGTTGTGGCTCACAGGCTCTAGAGCACAGGCTCAGTAGTTGTGGCACACGGGCTTAGTTGCTCCACGGCATGTGGAATCTTCCTGGACCAGGGCTCGAACCTGTGTCCCTGCATTAGCAGGCGTATTCTTAACCACTGCAACACCAGGGAAATCCCCTCAAAATTTTTAGTAATGGAATTGGTATTCAAATCCCTTTGAATTGTAATAAATAAGAATAAATGCTGATTGGTACAGTGAGATTGCTGATTTCAAGAAAAGCCCAAGTACTCATGGATTTTTTGGGTAAGATTCAGCTTATTTGTTGGAAAGTGTGGGGGGAACTACTTTATAATGTGCCCTTAGCAAGAATGCTTTGCAAATAAGCAGATGCCTTTTCAGAATTTTTCATCAGATCCCTTCAAATTAATGCCTCAATATACTTGAGCAAAACCACATAGTATATAACCATAAGCTTAAGTGCCTAGCTGAGCAGAGTCTTGTACATCCTAAATATTAGATGCAGGATTTTTCATAATACTTCATTGGTACCTGTGATATTTTTTTTCTGATTGATCACCATGTAACACATTTTATCTTTAAAGGGCCACTATGTATTTTAATATGCCTCTCTTCAGGAACGTCCAGCGCCTATTTCCTTTTTTTTTTTTAATTAATTTATTTAATTTATTTATTTTTGGCTGCGTTGGGTCTTCATTGCTGAGCACAGGCTTTCCCTAGTTGCGGCGAGCGGGGGCTACTCTTCGTTGTGGTGCAAGTGCTTCTCATTGTGGTCGCTTCTCTTTGTTGCAGAGCACAGGCTCTAGGTGCACGGGCTTCAGTAGTTGTGGCATGCGGGCTCAGCAATTGTGGCGAACGGGCTTCGAGTGCAGCCTCAGTAGTTGTGGCAAACGGGCTTAGTTGCTCCGTGGCATGTGGGATCTTCCCGGACCAGGGCTCGAACCCGTGTCCCCTGCGTTGGCAGGCGGATTCTTAACCACTGTCCAGTGCCTATTTCTTATTCTCCTGTATTCTTGGTTGGCTAGCAATAGTGAGAAAACATCCTTAGCGCAATGCTTTTGGACAGCTGAAGGCTCTGGCACAGACATATCATGTCACATATCATATCACACTGAAATGAGCAAATGAAAATTGTGTGATATGTGTGCTCAGTTTGATTTTTATTTATTTCCCTATCACTAGCCTTCAGTGTGGATACAAAAGGGATATTTGGTAGGGATATTATTAAACTATGGTTAAATAATGTGAAGCCAGTGAGGGAAAAGTCTGTAATATGCTTGTACTTTAATATGGATCATGGGATTTTCAGCTCACCATTCTTTTGTATTTGGTTGTGTTTTTTCTTTCAGGAGAAAACTTTGCAGAATTCAGATCTGCGGGAAATGATGATGGTTTCACCGATTTTAAAACCGCCGATAGTATCTCACCACTAGAGCCACCAGCAAAAGACAAACCTTTTCCGGCAGCCTTCCCCTCAGGAGCTATCCAACAGAAACCACAAACACAAGTGAAAAATCCTCTGAACTTAGCAGACCTAGATATGTTTTCCTCAGTTACTTGCAGCAGCGAGAAACCATTGTCCTTTTCAGCTGCATTCAGTGCATCAAAATCTGTTTCCTCACGACCCCAGCTTGCGGGATCTGTGGCACCCATGACGACTTTGGCGTCAACTAAAACTTCGAGTTTGGCTGATGATTTTGGAGCATTCAACCTTTTTGGGGAATATTCTAGTCCAGCATCTGTTGGGGAGCAGGATGACTTTGCAGATTTTATGGCTTTCAGTAATAGTTCTGTTTCATCTGAGCAAAAGGCAGATGACAAATATGAGGCCCTTAAAGAGGAAAGTAGTCCAGTTCCTCTAAGCAGCAGCGTGAGCAGCACAGTGAAGAATGGCCAGAACTCTGCCGCTGCATCTACCAAATACGATGTCTTCAGACAGCTCTCTCTGGAAGGATCGGGACTAGGTGTTGAAGAGCTGAAAGATAACACTCCTTCAGGAAAGAGCGATGATGATTTCGCTGACTTCCACTCCAATAAATTTTCTTCCATGAACTCGGACAAATCCCTGGGAGAGAAAGCAGTGGCTTTCAGACACACCAAAGAAGACTCTGCTTCAGTGAAGTCCTTGGATCTCCCTTCCATTGGTGGCAGCAGTGTTGGCAAGGAGGACTCTGAAGATGCACTCTCTGTTCAGTTTGACATGAAACTGGCTGATGTGTTCTTAACCAGTCCAGTGCCTATTTCTTATTCTCCTGTATTCTTGGTTGGCTAGCAATAGTGAGAAAACATCCTTAGCGCAATGCTTTTGGACAGCTGAAGGCTCTGGCACAGACATATCATGTCACATATCATATCACACTGAAATGAGCAAATGAAAATTGTGTGATATGTGTGCTCAGTTTGATTTTTATTTATTTCCCTATCACTAGCCTTCAGTGTGGATACAAAAGGGATATTTGGTAGGGATATTATTAAACTATGGTTAAATAATGTGAAGCCAGTGAGGGAAAAGTCTGTAATATGCTTGTACTTTAATATGGATCATGGGATTTTCAGCTCACCATTCTTTTGTATTTGGTTGTGTTTTTTCTTTCAGGAGAAAACTTTGCAGAATTCAGATCTGCGGGAAATGATGATGGTTTCACCGATTTTAAAACCGCCGATAGTATCTCACCACTAGAGCCACCAGCAAAAGACAAACCTTTTCCGGCAGCCTTCCCCTCAGGAGCTATCCAACAGAAACCACAAACACAAGTGAAAAATCCTCTGAACTTAGCAGACCTAGATATGTTTTCCTCAGTTACTTGCAGCAGCGAGAAACCATTGTCCTTTTCAGCTGCATTCAGTGCATCAAAATCTGTTTCCTCACGACCCCAGCTTGCGGGATCTGTGGCACCCATGACGACTTTGGCGTCAACTAAAACTTCGAGTTTGGCTGATGATTTTGGAGCATTCAACCTTTTTGGGGAATATTCTAGTCCAGCATCTGTTGGGGAGCAGGATGACTTTGCAGATTTTATGGCTTTCAGTAATAGTTCTGTTTCATCTGAGCAAAAGGCAGATGACAAATATGAGGCCCTTAAAGAGGAAAGTAGTCCAGTTCCTCTAAGCAGCAGCGTGAGCAGCACAGTGAAGAATGGCCAGAACTCTGCCGCTGCATCTACCAAATACGATGTCTTCAGACAGCTCTCTCTGGAAGGATCGGGACTAGGTGTTGAAGAGCTGAAAGATAACACTCCTTCAGGAAAGAGCGATGATGATTTCGCTGACTTCCACTCCAATAAATTTTCTTCCATGAACTCGGACAAATCCCTGGGAGAGAAAGCAGTGGCTTTCAGACACACCAAAGAAGACTCTGCTTCAGTGAAGTCCTTGGATCTCCCTTCCATTGGTGGCAGCAGTGTTGGCAAGGAGGACTCTGAAGATGCACTCTCTGTTCAGTTTGACATGAAACTGGCTGATGTGGGAGGAGATCTTAAGCATGTCATGTCTGATAGCTCTTTGGATTTACCAACAGTTAGTGGCCAGCATCCTCCTGCTGCAGGTGAGGAATTGGTGAGATTGCTCTGGTGATGGTGATATAGATTTCAAAGATGGTTCTGTGGGTGTTGATTTACAGAAGAGGAAGGCTCTGGCTCTTAACCCTTATGAATGTCTAATAATTAACCTCGTCATTGCCAGTCCCCTTAAAGCAGCGTTGAATTGGATTCTGTGGATACTTGGATATGTGGATACTATGAATACAATGAAACTTAGATTGGATAGCTAAGATATTTTTACGTTTGAAATCTAACACCAACTTGGTGTCTGAGGCACATCAAAATCCGCTGCTGAATGAGCCACACATTGCCAGAAATTTTATAAAGACTTTTGCAGTGTCAGTAATGTTCCTCCATTTCTGTGAGTGAAGTCAATGTTTCCTTCTCCATTTTTCTCTCTTGGGTATATTTGGCAGCTGCCAATAGAGTATTCTGTTTGGTTTATAGAAACCGACTCTTGTTAGGCCAAGAAAGTAAAAATGTCTAGCCAGTTATACTGCAGTTTTGCCACATCCCTATAAGAGAAGAGGGCAAGAGCTTGTATCTGGATGCCCTGTGTGCCAGGGTCTGGCAAGGAGGAGGGCAGGAGTTGTTAGTGGAATTGAGGTACGGTTTTCAGTGTTAACGCTATTACTGGAAGTAGTAAATTGTCACACAACTGTAGCCGGTAGATAGGGTACCTACTAACTTTCTCGTAAAATGTTTGAAAACATCTTAGAGGAGAGCCCTCTTTAAATTCCATATGGATTTACATGTAGCAGTTGATTCTCTAGTCCAACCTCCTGTCAGAAAAACTAGATTCCCAAGTGTCCTAGTTTTTATTTTGTTTTGTTCTTTGATATGTATATAGAAATACAAACCTATTTTGTGGCCTTTAATAATGAGAAATATCTCAGCATTACTGTATTATTCCAGAAAATGCATTATGCGCACGAAGGGTTCATTGTCATTTAACTAGAGAGGGACACATAAGACACTCCCAAGTTTACAGTTTCAGGAAGAGATGGTAAAGTATGGCGGCTTTTGCATATATCAATTTGGTAAGTCAGAAAACAAAATTGCATCCATCCTTTGGCTATTGAGATGTTAGAGGTCTTCTTAAACAGGGTGCTGAATTGGGAGCAAGGTATCGGAGGAGTGACGTGTTCCACAGGCTACTTGCCAAGTGCAGTGGGCTGTCTGCAGGGCTCCTTGTGCCCCTGACTGTCTACTTCTTTTTCTAATGTACGCTTCTTCAAATGTTCTCCTTTTTTTTTTTTGCCGCTGTTTGTTTGCTAGAGTGATTTTGTTTCTTTTTTGTATGAGCTGCTTGAGCTACAGCAGTTGGTTGCAAAGTGCTCCATTTTCTGAACAATAATATTGGCTTTTTATTTTTAAATCTCATAACATGTATACTAGCCTTTTGGGCTCTGAAGTTATTAATTAGAAGCTATTTTTCTGAAAGTGAATCTATATTCTTTCACAGTGCCAAACTAGATTTCTTTGTGAGACGAGTCTAATCTGCGTTTGGGAGGGTGTCGTCTCTTTTTTTTTTCCATTTGGGGAGGGGAGATTGGTTTCATGACTGAGCTTGTTCTGATTGACCTGTTAAAATACTCTTCTGTGCTCATGTCCTTTTATGTATGTTTGGAACATTCCCAGCTTGGAACCTGTAACGTTCAAGCCAAGTTTCTTCAGTTTGAGGATATTCTTAAAAGAGGATTGTTCCCTCCTTTTGATCTGTAAACCTCCTGTCCGAAAGGAGCAGTATCCCTTTAGAGTGGTTGTTAAAAGGGGTTGATGTCTGACCAATGAGCTATATCGTTCTTGAGCAAAACTGCTGCGTGAATGTATTGAAGAGGGTAAATGGCAGGGACTTCTCCAGTGCAACTTGGTTTTTCTTTATCCTCGTTTTGACGCACAGTATCTCTTGCTCTCTTAGTTTGAGGGTTAAGGGTACTTTTTGTTGGAGAAATAAGAAGTGGGCTGATAAAAAGAGAATAAAACGTAGTAGATTATCATTTCTGAACCTTAATCCTGTTTAGAAACCCTAACTCGACTCTGAAGGGGATACTGTCTCTTTTAACTCTTGCTATAATTCTTTGTATGGAAGGTAGATAACACTAATAACATTGCCTGATTTCTCTGCGTATTATTACATTTAACCCTTTGAGCCCTTGCTGCATATAATTTCAACTAGGCTGCTTTTGTCCCCCCTCTAAATTGAATCTCTCAGCCCTAAAGCATCTTGATGTGCAGTCATTAAGATCATCTGGTTTCGTTGGCAGCAAGAGCTGCCCCTCATTTGTGACATTCTCAAAGGGTTAGCAAGGCTTCTGTAGCTACCTGCCTACCTACCTACCTGTAAAGTAGCTCTTCTTTGACATTGCAAATCTTTGTATTTTAATCAGCGCTTTATTATTATTTTTTGGCTGCTTTTCTGATGTCTTTTTTTTCAATTTAGACATTTCCTGTGTGAATGTGCCTTTTCAAACTTGCTTTGGTATATTCCTCTGCGAATACCGATCTGCATGCTTATTCTGATGACTTTTTTCCCAGCTCTTCTGTACCACTCTCTTTTGTGATCTGTAAGTCTTAACGTTAATAAATAATTCTTTCACACATTTTGGAAGTGTGGGGATGTGTGTAATTTGTACTTTTCCAGGGTTAGACCAAAGAAATACCTGGTCAGTATCAAGTTTAAACCCTCCTGTGGTTAGAGGGCTTTTTCCCTTTTGTTTATTTTGTTTCTTCAAACACCTTTCTCCTAAGAAAGTTATTGGTACATTTTAGCCTTTTCCCCTTATAATTCCACGGATATAAATTTTTAACATGGCACTGGATTAAAATGTAAGTTAAAACATTTTAAAAGATAAGTGTAAACCTTACATTACTTTACGTAATAGAGAGAAATTTTATTCCTTACTTCTAGTGAAGATTTTATTGCTTAGTAAACATCACAGAGCCTGTCTCCACTAGGAATTATACTGTGACGAGAAGGGGAAGACCTAAGAGTATAGTGTTGGGGAAAGGGCCATATCTATTAATAACTAGGTATATATAAATTTAATTTAAAATAAATTATCGAATGGTATTGAGATGAACTTCTGAGCAGAGTAAATGTAAACTGAATTTAGATTGATAATCTCTGTAATGAAAAGTGTTTTTTGTTAATACCAGGGAGTCTCCAGGACTGAATTTGATTTGAGTTTGAAGTTGGGCACTCCGTCCACTAATTGTAGAGCATGTTATCTTTCCAACTTCAGAATGTAGTATGAAGCCACCCTTGGTCTTTTTTAACTTAGTCTGTAAAGCAAGTTCTTAGCTCTTTTCATTTTTAAGAAAACAATTTTAGAAAGACCCACAAAAGTTAGCTGCAAGAGTAGGCCAAATTTGGAAAATTTTTTCCATTTTAGAGTATAATAATAGTGAAAAGGGAGTTGTTTCCATGGTTTAAATTTTTTTCCTTATATTTTGATGCTTTGGTTCTTTATTCTTTTTAAAAGTTTGAGTCAGAAAGGAAATTAAACCATTGAAGGTGAGGATTTTGAATAGGATTCCTGAGAGATTATTTACAGTATCTGAACTATGCCATTTGAGAAAGAAGAAAAGTTGCATATTGGGATTTAGATTAACACTAAGAAAAGCTGGGTCTGCCATTCAAAATATCGTGTTTTCCAGGGCATAATTCTTTAGAAAGTGAATAATACTTGGTTTACGAAACCTTGTATAATCATACTATGTTTTAATTATGATGTGTATTAACTAATTTGGAAGAAAGAGATTTTGGTGTAGCCTCCATCTAGTGAAAATATCAGTTGCCCTTCTTTTAGAATGTTCTGGTGCCAGTCTCATGATGGCTTTGGCTAAGGAATTCCTCTGTCAGTGGAATTATTTAGTGCTATATTGGTCCATCTGAGACTGCTTTATTTTAACTCCCTTCTGCATTTAAGCAGGCTCCAGAAAATGAATATACCTGTGCATAAAACATAATCACATTCACAAATTGAGCAATTAATGTTTCCAGAGGGATATTACTTTTTAGGGAGGAAGTTTTGATAATGCATATGACAATATAAACTTTCAGCAAAGACTTGAAGGCTGTATTCTATAAGTTCCAGCAAATCAAAAAACACCATTTTGTTTACCCCAGTGCCAAGTAAAGTAAGATGTGGTTAGTGCCTGACTTCACACATCAGTGCCTGAGACATTATACAAATGTATTTATATCTTACAGTCACTTTATTTTTCACATTAAAATCCCTGCTGATTTTTAAAAGTAGCTAATGAACATGAAGGGGATTCTGGCAGTATCAAAGAAGCTGGGCTAAATCCTAAAATAACTCAAAGAATCAAACCAATTTAATATTTAAAGAGCTGTTTCCAGCTTTATTTTTCCATCAGTTGAATGCTTTTCATAGGTTGTTTTGGAAAATGTTGGCCCATTAGCTATATAGGGTCATATGCATAGTATGGTCTTCTGGGTGCTCCCCTCTCCCTTGCATGGTCACAAGGCTCTAGTTGTAATTGCCATCTTCTGTGCTCATTTGATTTTTTTCTGTGGGATTTTTAATGATGACCATGTCCCACTGTATGTCTTGGCACCATTCTGTGGCCTTCCAGCCTCCTCTGGACTGAAAATATCCACAGGATTGCCATTTTTCTTTATTGAACTTAAAGCACTGACCCGGAAACCTGCAGGTGCTTACTGGTAGCCTGACAACATTTAAACTATAGATTTATATGAGTAAGTACACATGAAGAATGGGAGGTTTCTATGCAGATTAGGAAACACTGGAAGGCGATTATACAGCAACATTTTATGGCCTGTCATTCTTACACTATGATCACTTTCATTCCTGTTTTCTTCAACAACACCTGTCAGGGTGTTTGATACTTAGAGGACACAGTCGGGCCAGGTTCTGTAGTTAATAGAGAATGTAAATATGACTGACTTCAGAAGGTAGAATAAGGCCAGGAATGGAAAGAAGTTTAAGTGTATAAATATTTCATGATTTGCTTTGGTAAAATGGAGTTTGGATTAAATCAGTATTGGAAATTAAAAGCTGTTTATTCCTTAGGCCAATGAACAATTTAATTGCTATATAAAACACTAAGGAACAGTGGAATTTGCACATGTATCTCTTTTCTTTTTCTAAACGCCTTTCTCAAAAGCCAGTAACTCTTAATCACCTGGGCACATATGCTTACAGCTTTAGAAAAGATCCATGGGAATCGGTATGGCCTTCTGTGTCCTGTAGCAGCAGCTCACATCCTTTGTTCCAAGAAATACCTTGTTTTCATGTACAACATCCGTTCAGAAGGGACGTGAATAGAGGTTATGGAAGAGACTGATAGGATTGCTTGCCAGTGTAAGCAAGAAATCCATGTCTTAATTTGAGACCCATGATGGAAAACAGATTGTATAGTTTATTCCTTTGGCCTTAGTAACAGGACATTCCTGGTTGCAAACAAATACATATATTAAAGCACACAATTTGGCACATTATCTGTGTGCAATTTCAGTTCAACCTAGCACAGCCCGAGAGTTTTCCAGTAGAATCAGAAAGTACAGCAGTGATTCTCTGTTCCTTTTATTGCATTCATTCTGTTTTCCTTTTTCTCTTGCAATTTTCAGAATTCAGCTATCAAATTGAAAACCCACCTACAGTAATTTCAGTGATTGCAAAATAAAATGTGGGTTATTCCGTATTATTTTTTCCATCACTCATGTTGTGACTCTTACAGAATCTTTACTGTTTTTAAGACCATCGTACAATAATACATATCGTTTGACTGCTTAGAAAACAGAGAACTGTTAGCATGGGAAATAAGGAATTTTCTTGGTTTAACCTACCCTCAGTGAGCTGATTTACCACGTTTTGCTAAAAAAAAGGTTTACTTAAAAAAAAAAACAGTTAAGTAATATTCACCATGCTAGGAAATACAACTGTATTTTTATATTGCTTATAAATGCTAAGATTTAGGAGTACAGTGTTCTCATGTTCCTTATGTAGTAGCCGTACTTCCTTATGTGTTCAGATGAATTGCACTTTAGTAAATTGTTTTTTTTACACTATATAGCTAGTAAATAAGCAAAAGTAAAATTTAAAAAAATCAGCCTTGAGGCTTGACTTCCATATATCTGGTATCATTACTCTTCATTATCTTATAAAATATAAAATATTTCTTTTTTAATCTTTCATTTGGTCATTTCTGTGAGTTGTTCCAAAAGGCAAAATGTTATGTTTATCATTCTTAGTAAAAGAAACGTTTCTTGAAGACCTGTAGTGTTATAAAAAATACTTAAAAGGTCTTCAACTAAGGTATTCCCTTATTGCTTATAATGCCTTTTGCCTGATTATATTACAATCATTTCTGGTTTTTTAAAAAAAAAAGAAAACTTGTTTTTTCTTGCTGCATAATTGCACAAAAGGGTCTTTTTTATTACCATAGCAATTTAGTTGTAATGTTTGAACAAGAGCTTGACTTTTTATTAAATTTATCTTTGGTCTCTAGGAAAATTGCTACCCTTTTTAGTAGATGAGATTCTGGGAGTAGTTCACAGTACAGCTTTCTGGTAGGGTGTAATAATAAAAAATTCATGTTCTGACACATTCTTCTGAATGTACCCTTGAAGACTCACTCATCTTGTGTTTAACTGCATCTGCTTCCTGATAGAATTTCACTTCATTTGAGTCAGAGCCTTTTAAATAGTGGGGAAAATAAACACTACAGCCAGAGACTAAGAGGGTGTTCTGCCTAAAGTCTTGTTTCATTCATTCTAAACTGTACATTTTTCACCTGAATCTTTTTTTTCCCTCCTGTTTAATAAGCTAAATTTGAAGGGTACCATTTGCACTACGGAATTTTAAAATATACTGCTGTTCTGTGACAGTTATCTACTTTTCACTGGTTGGCCTTTCTGTAAATCTCGGGTTTTCCATTTTTTTTTTTTATTAAGTTAGTGCTCTTTTCCTAATAGGGTTGAGAGAGAGCTATTTGGGGTGCACTGTTAGAGGAGCAATGTCAGGAATCCCTTCCTTCTCATAAACTATGCAGCATTGCTGTGTAAGAGAGATGAAGAAACCCAGTGTTGTTTTACCTGTTGACTGAGTTACGAAAATCTGGGTCACAGAACTTCTGAGCATTTTCCTTTAATCCATGTTTGTGGTTGTCAGAGAGGGAGTCTTGCATTTGGCCTTCTTACCTGGTGTACAATGACCAAAATCAGACCAAACACCTCTCAGCCAGACTGAATGGACAGCACTGCTGGAAAGTTGCTTCTCCACACCAGTGTTACTCAGCGTCAGCTGGTTTTGCTTTATGAAAATGAGCAAGAAATTTCCCCTACTAAGACCAGTAAAGTGATGGGTTGACTTTTTTTTTTTCCTTTGAAACAATTCTATTTTAGGCCCTAAGGCAGGCAACTAAATATCCCATTGAGGCTGGTGGCAACTGTGCTGTACAGTAATTGCTGTGTTGCTCACCAGGCCCTGGGCTGGGCCCTTTACACTTGTTATCATTAATGTCATAACACAGCCCTTCCAAGTGCATGGTCTTCTCTTTTTACAGATAAGCAAACCGAGGTTAAGAGATGTTAAATAGCTTGCCTAGTGTCACACAAGTGGTAGGTGGCAGAGCTGGGAGTTGAACCCAGGTCTGTCTGAATCAAAAACCTACATTCTTTCTGCTGTTCTGTGCCACCTCTTAAATTATTTAAAGATATATTAAGCATGTAAAATGAGTCTTCTGCCGCATTTCTTTTTTCTTTTCCTTTTTTTTTTTAAATGAGGGGGTTACACATAGTTGAAGGAGAAACAGGAGCCCAAGAGGACCCAGACCTTTGATTCTATTTTTTTTAGTGATTAAAGTAGTTTAGACTGATTTTTCTTTCCTCATACTCCATCACAGCAATATGATGTCCATATTGACCAAAATAACAACTAGGTAAGTAACTGCTCAATTAAAATCTCATATGTGGCCTTGCCTAGACAGAAACTCCTAATAACTGATTAAAAGTTAAATAACATTATTTTTACTTTAGTTTCGGGATATTGTCAATTTCTAATTAGTTTGTCATGTACATTTCATATGGCCATGTTATAAAGGAACATTTTCCAGCAAAGTCAAAACGAAAGAGACTTGTTTTAGGCAGGGAATATTGTAAATACATTTTAAAGTTCATAAGTGAACGGACATTTTATTAAATGACCCTATTCTTATATCAAACTGTATATACATTGGTGGATGAACCTCCTATCTTTTTTTAAGAATTGTACTATCCAAAGAAGATGGCTCTTTGTTACTAAATATAAATGCCAACTCAACTAATGTGGGTTTTTCAAGGTCAGATTTTACAGCCCAGCTTCTTTAATTTTAGTACAAGCTCTAAATTTAGTTAACTCCAACATCGCATAAAATGAATCAAAAGTACTAGACATTTTGCTTCTGCAGAGCTTAGGGCATTTTGCCTAAATGCTGAGCTTGCCTCTAATTGTGGGGTCTTATTTCCCTTTCAGATGTAGAGGACTTAAAATGTGCTGCTTTTGGAACCTACAGTAGCAATTTTGCAGTGAGCACACTTACGAGCTATGACTGGTCAGACAGGGATGATGCCTCTCAGGGCAGAAAACTCTCTCCATTTGTCCTCTCAGCAGGAGGCAGGGCCCAGCAGGAAGCAGGGCCTCCTCAGCTGCCTCAGCTCTTCAAAAGAAAGAGACTTCATTTGGCAGTACAGAAAACCTCACCATGACACCTCTCTCCAAAGTCACAACCTTCACAAGCGAGGATGCTCTTCCAGAGACGACCTTTCCGGCTTTTGCCAATTTTAAAGATGTGACCCCACAGGCCAGCGAGCAAAAGGAATATAAAAGCGAGGACTACAGGGATTTCACCAGACAGGACCTGCCTGCGGCTGAACGGTGCCAAGAGGCCACGTGCCCAAGCCCAGCCCCCAGCAGCGCTTCTCACGACACCCCCAAAGAATGTGCAGATGACTTTGGAGAGTTTCAAAGTGAAAAGCCCAAAATCAGCAAATTTGACTTTTTAGTGGCCAATTCACAAGGCAAAACGAAATCCAGTGAAGAAATGATCAAAAGTGAGCTGGCAACCTTTGACCTTTCCGTTCAAGGTGAGTGGCTTCCAGCATAGATTTTATGTCATGGTTTCTTCCACTGCAGTGTTAGATGTTCTTTCTTAGAATAAGAAGTTGGTCCCTGGGATAGCAGGAAATAGATTTTCCAGTGTTTAAAATCAGAGTCTATGACAGATAGCTATAAAAGAAGGTTTCCCTGAGACTGAACTGAAATTAAACCAGTATCCCTCAGATAACTGCTTTTGGGGCTAAAAATAAGCATAGCACCCAGTCTGTTGTTCATCTGCTTGTTTGGGGTAGAGGTGTGCCGTGTTAAAAGACAGAGAAATGGTTTGATCCCCTTGTGGGCAAGTTAGTTCTGCTCTTGTTCGCTGGCTATGGACTATATCTTTTCAACCAGAGGCTGCAACGTGGTAGCTGTGGATCTGGATCCAGCCTGCAGACCTGTTTTGATTGACCCACATGGAAGGTTTTCTAATATACATAGAAATCATGACACTTCACAACCTGGATTTCTAGCTTTTCTTTCTTCTTTTTTTTTGTAAGCTTATTTTTTTTTAATTAATCAATTTATTTTTGGCTGCGCTGGGTCTTCACTGTGGCTCTCAAGTTGCCGTGCGCAGGCCCTAGAGTGCGCGGGCTTAGTTGCGGCGTGTGGGATCTTAGTTCCCTGACCAGGGATCGAACCCGAGCCCCCTGCATTGGGAGCGTAGAGTCTTAAGCACTGGACCACCAGGGAAGTCCCTCTAGCTTTTCTTGAAAAGTTGTAGCATCTGGCAGGACTAGGCCTACATTCCCACCTCTTGACAGTCAGCTGGAGCTGAGTAGCAACATCCCCGCCGACAGCTGAGGTGTGCTCCCCCCAGTGTCGCAGTCCCCACCACTTCCATGTCCAGCTGGCCTTCTTCAGTCATTTACTTTGCTTGCCTGTCCTCTGAAGGCATTTAAGTTTGCCCCTTTTGCTTCAATTGCATCCTGACAGAAAGGCTCGTTGATTTCCGTTAGATTGGGAGAGATGGAGGAAGTCGGTACAAATCCCTAACTGATAACTGGAGAAGGCACACACCTCTTATGCACTGATACTTAGAAGGACCCTTTAGCCCTCCATACTCCAGTGATTCCGCACGTAGAATTAGGGAAGAATTATGATAGATCGGAGAAGCGTAATGGAGAAAATTAAAGGCAAGGAACTCAAGCAAGAGAGAACAAATGAAAGCGTCCAACATGTAGCTTGCCGGACAGGCTGAATGACGGGTGTGAACGCCTCCTGACACAAACATCTGAGAACAGAGGGTCGTGTTAGCAAGGCAGAGCCTCTGCTTGGACTAAGCTGAGTAATCAGAACCTCTGTGCCATCCACTCCCCCCAGGATCGCACAAGAGGAGTCTGAGCCTTGGTGATAAAGAAATAAGCCGTTCTTCTCCTTCTCCGGCCCTGGAGCAGCCTTTCAGAGACCGCTCCAGCACACTGAGTGAGAAGCCCGCCCTGCCCGTCATCCGCGACAAGTACAAAGACCTGACAGGAGAGGTGGAGGTGAGCGGGCTCCTCGTCCGCGGGGGGCTGAGCCCCTGAGGGCCCTGAGAAAGAGCGCTTGCAGCTTTCACTTGGGGAACCAGGGGCAGAACGTCACAAAGCACCAGACGTAAAATACGTAATTACAGTGAGAGAATGGTGACGTTAGCCCCAAATGAAAGTACCTCCCAGATGTGGCATCACTGAAAGTAGTCAGTGACCCTCACACTGGAATTATTCCTGGGACCGCACAGGCAGGCAGGTGTTTCACGGAGTTCTTTTTGAGCACGTAGACTTTATCATCTTAGTGAATGGTAAAGCATCAAAATAGAGGAGAAAGGGCAGATGTCCTGGGTCCTCTCACTGCTCCCGTTCACAGCGCCTTAGTCCCATGCTGCCTTCCTCCTCCAGCCAACACTCTTAGCACTCCTCGTCCCTCCCTGGCACACACGCGCACACGTACACTCAGGAGGCCATGGCGCCGGAAGCCGTGGTTTGATACTGGCCCTTGTACTAGACACCTACGTGATGAGTGCCTTTAAAGAAGCTTCCGCTGTTAGTGGAACAAATGAGGCAACATTTACAAAGGGAATCAACGAAGAAACGTTTCCCTCAGATTTACAAGTCGTGTGCTTGGAAGTTACATTTATCAGGAATTGAAAATTGTCACTAGTGGGTTCAGAAGATAAGTTGCGTTTGGACTAGAGTGATTTTCATACACAGGAAAGTCTTCAGTACTCTGAATTGACAGAAGTAACAAATCGGATTCCAGCCTTGCTGGTTTGACCCAGTTCTTTTTATAAAATTCACAGGAGAATGAGAGATATGCATATGAATGGCAGCGGTGCCTAGGGAGTGCCCTAGAGGTGAGTCTGTCACTTTCGTGGTGTTCACACGTACGGAAATGCCCCTTGTGTACATATCTTACCTTCTGGGTTCATTTGGATAGACTCGCAGAGCTCTGCCTCGATGGCCTTGTGCAAAGAGAAGCTGTGTGGAAAGTCACACATCTTAAGCAAGGCTTCTTTCCCATCTATGATAGTAGACACAACTCACTTAACTACCGTGCCCTCTTCTGTCACTGTGTTTAAGACATAACAAAATGATATCATTATCTCTGCCCAAGCTAAAATAATATTTAAGCTAAAGAACCTCTGTTTTTCCTCTTCCAAAAATAATGAAGGATTGGTTCTTCAGTGTCAAAATTAAATTCTCAGATTTGTTTCAGCATAGTCCTCTATATACATCAATCAGTCATGTGTTTCCACACCTCCTGGCTTTCTGTTGGGTTTTCTACTGATAGTAAATTGATTTGTAATGACTTTTCCTGATTACATAAGGTGATGTGATTTCATTTCTTTGTAGGTCATTAAGAAGGCCAATGATACCTTAAATGGAATCAGTAGTAGTTCTGTGTGCACAGAAGTAATTCAGTCAGCTCAAGGCATGGAGTACTTATTAGGTATGTGCTTTTATATTTTGCTTATCCAAAATCATGACACTTTGCAGTCTTTTCAGTTGTCCCTATGTTACGTAGCTTAATCTAGATCTCTCAAGCCACATATGACTTCAGTAAGTAGCGTCTGCATTTGTAGAGAAGACACTTAAGTCCCAGACAGAAACAGCTATTTGACTTCGGGTCTCTTTGGCCAGGTTTCCCAGTCCTTGTTATACACAGTGTAAAATTACTGGTTTATCAAAGCGTCTGAACTAGATGAGGCATTAAAATTAAATCATTGGTTTAAAAAAGAAAATTAAATCACTGGGTCTCCAATCAATTCTTACCATGCTGTGTTGAATTCTTCCTTTCTACCTCTCACTGACATCACAGATTGCTTAACTTCCGGGCCACCTTCAGCTATCAGACATGCCAGTCCAACATGAAGTCTCAATCCCTGTCCATTTCAGCGGACCTCTCCTCCCCAAGCTCAGGCTTGTCCCGTGGCCAGAGCCACATGCACTGGACCCTAGTCTTTTTCAGATCTTTACTCAAATGTCACCTTCTAAGTGAGGTCTTCCTGGCCTGTCTTACTCAAAGCCATGTCGTGTCTCCCCACCCTGGCACTTCCCGTCTCTTTCCCTGCTTGATTTTCTCCCTAGCCCTGTCACCTTTAGTATCTTAACTGCTTTACTTACGGTTCTTATTATCTGTCTGTCTCCCTCCACTAGAACGAACCTCCAAGAAGGAAAGGATTTGGGTCCGTTTTGCTCACTGCTGGGTCTTTAGCACCTAGACTAGGGCCGGGCACATAGTGGTCACTCGCAAATACTTGCTGCATGAGTGGCTACGAAGGGATGTGAGCTCTCCTTCCTCCTGCCACCTTGCTCTGGTTCTGCTCTCCTGCCCAGACAGGCACAATTCTGCTGCATAAACAGATGTTCACAGGGTAATGGGATGCCTGTCTTTCCTTCTACTAGTTTACTAGTGTGGAAGACCATCTGAGAAGCCCCCTCACTTGGCTTAGAGTGGGCTGTGATTCCTGCCCTTCCCCTGGGGGAGGAAGGACAAGCTGTGGTGCTATACAGAGGCTGAGCATGTACCACTGAAGACCCCCTGGGATTCTTCCAGTCCTCGGTTATAGCGGCCGGTGGAGGGGTTGGGGGTATGTCTGGCAGCTGTCCTTAGAATGTGGAGACCTTGGCACCCTCATCCTTGCTGGAAGAATTCAGCCATAATGCAGCGACCACAGGAAAAGAACCATTCTGTGTCCTGTTGAGTGTATAAAAGATACATGAAGCCACAGACATTGTAGATCTTTGGGCATTCAGAGGAGTGAGATACTTCTTAATTACAGGCAGACCTCGGAGATATCACGGGCTTGGTTCCAGACCACAGCAGTAAAGCATATATCTCAAAAAAGCATGTATCTCAATAAAGCGAGTCACATGAATTTTTCGGTTTCCCAGTGCGTAGAAAAATTATATTTACACTATTACTGTAGTCTGTTAAGTGTGCAATGGCATCATGTCTAAAAAAACAATGTACATACCTTAATTTAAAAATACTTTATTGCTAAAAACTGCTAACCATCATCTAAGTCTTCTGTGAGTCATAATCTTTCTGCTGGTGGGGAGGCTCTTGCCTCCATGTTGATGGCTGCTCACTGAACAGGGTGGTCGCCGAAGGCTGGGGGCGGGCCGTAAGATGATGGTGAGGTTTGCTGCACCGATAGACTCTTCCTTTCATGAACCATTTCCGTATACTATAAAACGCTGTTTGAAAGCATTTTACCCACCAGAGAACTTCTTTTAGTATTGAAGTCAGTCTTCTCAAAACCTGCTGCTGCCTTATCAACTAAGTTTATGTAATATCCTAAATTCTTCGTTGTCATTTTAACAGTCTTCACCAGGAGTAGGTTCCACCACAAGAAACCACTTTTCTTTGCTCATCCATAAGAAGCAATACCTCATTGTTAAGTTTTATCATGAGATTGTAGCAGTTCAGTCACATCTTCAGGCTCCACTTCTAATTCTAATTCCCTTGCTCTTCCCACCACATCTGCAGTTACTTCCTCCACTGAAGTCTTGAACCCCTCAAAGTCACCCCTGAGGGTTGGAATCAACTTCTTCCAAATTCCTGTTAATGTTGATATTGTGAGCTCTTCCCATGAATCACACATGTTCTTAATGGCATCTAGAACGGTGAATCCTTTCCAGAAGGTTTTCAATTGACTTTGCCCAGATCCATCAGAGGAGTTACCATCTGTGGCAGCTACAGCCTCACAAAATGTATTTCCTAAAGACTGAGACTTGAAAGTTGAAATTATTCCTTGATCCATGGGCTGCAGAATGGATGTTCTGTGTTTAGCAGGCATGAAAACATTAATCTTGTTGTATATCTTTATCAGAGTTCTTGGGTGACCAGGTGCAATGTCACGGAGCAGTCTTTTTTTTTTTTTTTGAGGTACGCAGGCCTCTCACTGCTGCGGCTTCTCCCGTTGCGGAGCACAGGCTCCGGACGCGCAGGCCCAGCGGCCATGGCCCACGGGCCCAGCCGCTCCGCAGCACGCGGGATCCTCCCGGACCAGGGCACAAACCGGCGCCCCCTGCATCGGCAGGCGGACTCCCAGCCACTGCACCACCAGGGAAGCCCTGAGCAGTCATATTTTGAAAGGAATCTTTTTTTCTGAGCATTAGGCCTCAACAAAGGGCTTAAAATATTCTGTAAACCGTGTTGTAAACAGATGTGTGTCATCCAGGCTTTATTGTACCATTTATAGAGAGAGCACAGGCAAAGTAGATGTAGCATAATTCTTAACAGCCCTAGGATTTCTGGAATAGTAAATGAGCACTGGCTTCAACTTAAAGTCACCAGCTGCATTCGCTCCTAACAAGAGAGTCAGCCTGTCCTTGGAGGCTTTGAAGCCAAGCATCGATGTCTCTTCACTAGCTACGAAAGTCCTAGATGGCATCTTCCAATAGAAAGTGGTTTCATCTACACTGAAAGTCTGTCGTTTAATGTAGCCACCTTTGTTAATTATCTGAGCTCGAGCTTCCGGATGACTTGCCGCAGCTTCTCCATCAGCACTTTAGGTTATGCAGATGGCTTCTTTCCTTAACCTTCATGAACCAGCCTCTGATGGCTTCACAGTTCTTTCTTCTGCAGCTTCCTCACCTCTCTCAGCCTCCACAGAATTGAAGAGAGTTTTGGCCATGCTCTGGATTAGGCTTTGGCTTAAGGGAATGTTGTGGCTGCTTTGATCTTCTATCCAGACCACTAAAACTTTCTCCATATCAGCAATAATATGTTTTGCTTTCTTATCATTCTTATTTTCACTAGAGTAGCCCTTTTGATTTCTTTCAAGAACTTTTCCTTTGCATTAGAAAGTTGGCTAACTGTCTGGCACAGGAGGCCTAGCTTTTGGCCCATCTTGGCTTTCGACATGCCTTCCTCACTAAGCTTAATCATTTATATTTTCTGATTTGAAGTGAGAGATGTGAGACTCTTCATTGAACACTTAGAGGCCATTGTAGGGTTATTAATTGGCTTAATTTCAATATTGTTGTGTCTCAGGGAATAGGGAGGCCTGTGGAGGAGATGGACAGGAACAGCAGGTCAGTGAGGCAGTCAGAACACGTGCTGCGTGGTTTGTGGTGCCCTAAAACAACTACAATAGTAACATCAGAGATCACTGGTCACAGATCACCATAGCAAATATGATAATAATGGAAACGTTAGAAATATTGTGAGATTACCAAAATGTGACAGAGATGCAAAGTGAGCAAATGCTGTCAGGAAAATGGTGCTTATAGACTTGCTTGATGCACAGTTGCCACAAACCTTCAATTTGTAAAAAATGTATATCTAGAAAGCACAACAAAGTGAAGTGCAATAAAGTGAGGTGTGCCTGTGTAGTGATATTGACATTCCGATTTCGTTTAAACTGTTAATATTCCTGTTTTCAGTGAGTTTAGTGGTATTTCCCAAATTCAAACAAATGGATTCATAAAGAAGCCAGAAAAAAAATAGCTGATACTTAGTTAATGCCTACTGTTCTCAGCCTTTTACAGTATTAACCCATTTAATCCCTTAATTCAACCATCCTTTGAGGAGGTACTGCTATTATCCCAATTTTACAGATGAGGAAACTGAAGCACAGAGAGGTTATGCAACCTGCCTGAGGTTACACAGCTAGTTAAGTGGCAGAGTTGGGACTTGAATCCAAGCAATGTAGCTCTAGAGTCTGTGCTCCTACCAGTGAGTTTATACTGCAGCATTAAGAGTTGATTGGTCCCAAGGAATAGTAAGTTCACGTCTGTCCAGATACAGTCCCAGTTTCCACCTAGAATATCAGCCAGCAGTAAGGCTATTGTGTCTTGCTCAATTCTTTCTGTACGCTTCCAGCACCTAAGTCTGTCCTTTCTCACCCTGTTAGGTGTTGTTGAGGTGTACAGGGTAACCAAACGTGTGGAGCTGGGGATAAAAGCCACTGCAGTGTGCAGTGAGAAACTCCAGCAGTTGCTGAAGGACATCGATAAAGTATGGAATAACCTAATTGGCTTCATGTCACTCGCCACACTCACGGTAAGCCCACTAGACAATTTAGCAGTTGCTTTCCTTCTAGAAACCTAAGCTGTAAAGCTGAGTGTATGTTCCTATGATGGCACTTATTGGAGGATGAAGGTGCCTACTGTATCAAGTTATGTTAAAGGAAGGAGATAACATTTGTTCCATTAGTTGAATAGTACCAGGTTGGCTTCTGGATAGCTCCCAGGACCGTTTTACCTAAATAAAATGTGAGTGTAGGAAAATGTTCTCTATCTACATCCTTCTTAAGTCACATATGTGTATGCATGTTTTGCAAAGCACTTGTTTTGAGTTTCTCCCTTTGCATTTCTAGTTATTTCTGTCCCCATTTGTGTCCTTGTAAAAAACCGTACTATGAAAACACTAATTCAGAAAGATACATGCACCCCAATGTTCATAGCAGCACGATTTACAATAGTGAAGACATGGAAGCAACCTAAATGTCCATCAACAGAGGAATGGATAAAGAAGATGGAATACTACTCAGCAATAAAACAATGAAATTTTGCCCTTTGCGACAACATGGATGGACTTTAAGGGCATTATGCTCAGTGAAATAAGTCAGACAGAGAAAGACAAATTGCTGTATGATATCATTTAAAAATGTGGAATCCAAAAAATAGTACAACAAACTAGTGAATATAACAGAAAAGAAGCAGACTCGAGACTTCCCTGGTGGTGCAGTGGTTAAGACTCCACGCTCCCAATGCAGGAGGCCTGGGATTTGATCCCTGGTCAGGGAACTAGATCCCACACGCATGCTGCAACTAAGGAGCCCGCCTGCCGCAACTAAGACCCGGCACAACCAAATAAATAAGTATTTTTAAAAAAAGAAGCAGCAGCAGCAGACTCACAGATACAGAGAACAAACTAAACCAGTGGTTACCAGTGGGGAGGGGCGAAGTAGGGGTAGGGGACTAAAAGGTACAGATTACTATGTGTAAAATAAATAAGCTACAAGGATGTATTGTACAACACGGGTAACATAACCAATATTTTATAATAACTGTAAATGGAGTGTAACCTTTTGAAATTGTGAATCACTGTCATACCTGAAACTAATATATTCTACATCAACTATACCTCAAAAACAATTTTTTTTTTAAACCTAAGTGAAACAAACGAAAGACTGTATGATACATCTTGTTGCTATCCTGTGGTTCATTTAGCCGGTTTACTTTCTTAGGGTCTTGGATTGTTTTCATTGTTTTCCTGTTATGAATAGTTTTACTCTGAATACCATTAAACAAATGACTGTTTCCCCTTTTGGGGATATAGTTTCTCCAAGTGGACTTAAGAGGTCAGAGTGCATGGCTGCGCATGTACGCGCATGCCTGCATATAGCTGTTGTTACACGTATTATATGGATTTACAGGGAGCTTAGGGGCTAGTTGACAGTGCTATCAGCAATACATAAGTATACATTTCTTTACATTGTATTTTAGCTTTGTCAGTTTCTTACGTTAACAAGTGTGTAAACGATTTCATAAAAGTGTTTTTTAATTTCTTTCATTTCCTGAAGGGCTAGCCGGTGTCTCAAATGATAATTTACTATTTTTATTTCCTTTGTGTATAAACCGATCATCTATCTCTTTTGACCATTTGACCATATATTCAATGAAATATTGTATTGACCATACATATTTCATACTTGGAATAGACTTATTCACACACGTGTGTGTGCTCATAAGATTACATCAGTTATTTTTTTCCTCTTCTATTCCCCTTTTTATTTTTTTAAAATTTTTTATTATTTATTTATTTTTGGCCATTTTGGATCTTCGTTGCTGTGCGTGGGCTTTCTCTAGTTGCGGCGAGCGGGGGCTACTCTTTGTTGCGGTGGCTTACCTTGTTGCTGAGCACGGGCTCTGTGCGCGCAGGCTTCAGTAGTTGTGGCGCACGGGCTTCAGTAGTCGTGGCTGGCGGGCTGTAGAGCGCAGGCTCAGTAGTTGTGGTGCACGGGCCTAGTTGCTTCGCTGCATGTGGGATCTTCCTGGACCCGGGATCGAACCCATGTCCCCTGCATTGGCAGGTGGATTCTTAACCACTGCGCCACCAGGGAAGTCCTCGTCCCCTTTTTAAAATATTTCATGGGGCAAAACTATTTTATTTTTATATATTCATACTTATTCAGTTTGTCTGTGATAATATCCTTTATTTCACAATTTATCTTCCTTCCACAGCTGGAATAAATATGCTGTTCCATTTTCTTTCTTCCTCTCCTTACACTTGACCATGTGCCCCATCTGAAAGAGCAGCCAGTTCTCATTGCGCTGCACTGATGGTCAGGAGGACTCCCGGTTCTCCCAGCAACCTGTCTTCAACGGCAAGCACATCCTCTCTCCGTTGTTATGTTGCTTCTGGCTTGTACTATTAAGTCCTTAAAGCATTTGAATCATCTCCCAAATCTCTTATTTTGTTCTCTTTGGCCATTTTTCAATTTATAACCTAATTATTTTTAAAAAATACTGTGTGGCCAATACAATAAGAAATGAAGTTATAAATATTTGAAAAGAAGAGATAAAATTATGTTCATTGGGTGATAAGAAATACTTAAAGAAAACTGAATTCAAGAGGTTAAATTTAACAAGTTTGGCAAAAATTCATAGCATTCTTTTAAGACTTTTTTTGATGCGGATCATTTTTAAAGTCTTTATTGAGTTTGTTACAATATTGCTTCTGTTTTATGTTTTGTTTTTTTTTTTTGGCCGCGAGGCATATGGGATCTTAGTTTCCCAACCAGGGATCAAACCTGCGCCCTCTGCATTGGTAGCACGGAGTCTTAACCACTGGACTGCCAGCGAAGCCCCCTACTCGTTCATTTTTTTATCCACTATCAATTCGTTCTGCATACCACTCTCAGATGTCTCTTTCTAAAATGCTAATCTGATTGTGTCATTTATATCCCATTTAAAATCCTGCAGTGACTCTCCGTGGTCTTCAGGGTCAAGTTTAAACTCCTTAGCTCAGTAAGTAAGGTCTTTTCCATCACTTGGGCTGCCCTGGCCTCTCTTTCTCTGTTAGACTGCTTTCCCCTCTGGACTTTGCGTCATTTGTCCCAGAATTCATTCCAAGAGGCCTTCAGTCTGCATTAGATGCCCTTCCTGTGTGTGTCCATAGCACATTCTGTCAGGGCACTTACCACGCTTCTTGATAATTGTGTTTGCTTGTTTCTTGCCCACTAGCTTCTCAGCTCCTTAAAAGCAGGACTGTGTCCTTTATTTATTTTTTTAATTGAAGTATAGTTTATTTACAATATTGTGTTAGTTTCAGGTGTACAGCATAATGATCTGGGTTTTTTTGTTTTTTGCAGATTATATTCCACTATAGTTTATTACAAGATATTGAATATAGTTCCCTGTGCTATACAGTAAATCCTTGTTGCTTATCTATTTTATGTGTAGTAGTTTGTATCTGTTAGTCTCATAATCCTAATTTGTCCCTCCGCCTTCCCCCTTCCTTTTGGTGGCCATAAGTTAGTTTTCTATGTCTGTGAGTCTATTTTTTATATACATTCATTTGTATTTTTTAGATTCCACATGTAAGTGATATCCTATAGTGTATGTCCTTTTTTCCCCTGTGTTCTAACAGTGTTTGGTGGGACTTTGTACCTTTTGTTTTATACTTTTTTGAACTTTCCAGTTTTTTTCAAGCAAGATAAGCATTTTTGTACCTCATTATTTTAATAACTGGTTTAAATTTTTTTAATAAATGGATAAGGAAAATTAAACGAAGGGAAAATGAAACTAGGGAAATAAGTTAAAGCCAGGTATGAAGTGTACAGAAATATGTGCTTTTTTTTTTTTTGGCCTTGAGGCATGCAGGATCTTAGCTCCCGATCAGGGATTGAACCCACCCTTGGCAGTGAACGCCTAGGGTCCTAACCACTGGACCACCAGGGAATTCCCCAAAAATATGTGCTTTAAAAGTGCTGGCATTTGCTAGTGGTGAGCTGTACAGTTGACCCTTTCTAGGCACTGATGTAAAGAAGACGTGATGAGTTCCATGATTCACTGTATTCATAACATAAAAATAAACCCTCTACTCAGGAAGCATAATTATTCCTCTTTATGAGAAGACTAACATAATCTACATTATCTTCAAAAATATCCTTTCAGTAAAGAAAGCAGCAGGTTTCATTGAGTAGTTTCTTAGGAAATCTCTCCGTAGAGATTGAATGGCATAGCTCCAAGTACAGATTAGTGGAAATCCTTCCAAGCGGGAAAAAAAATAGATGAAATGGTAAATGAGAAAAAAACGTGTGGCAGCGCATACTGACAGTGACCACAAGTCTTTGCTCTGTAAAGAAAACATAAATTAGTGAGAACTATACCAGCTTCCAGTAAGATCGGAACAAAAACATGAAGTGATTCATAGAGGAGGCACAGCTAAGCAGTAAACATTAATTCAAATTAAAACAAGATCTGTTTTTACCTCCTAATAAACACAGTATGGGGTTTGGTTTATTTATTTGAACCCTGATCGTGTTGATGTGGTAAAATTGGACTACTTCTTAGGGAATTTATTAGGAATTCATTGATTAGGAATTTTTTTTTTTTTTTTTTTTTTTTGCGGTACGCGGGCCTCCCACCGCTGCGGCCTCTCCCGTTGCAGAGCACAGGCTCCGGACGCGCAGGCTCAGCGGCCATGGCTCACGGGCCCAGCCGCTCCATGGCACGCGGGACCCTCCCAGACCGGGACACGAACCCATGTCCCCTGCATCGGCAGGCAGACTCCCAACCACTGTGCCACCAGGAAAGCCCTGATTAGGAAATCGGTACCACCCTATGGGAAAGGTGTCTGGCAGCATGCTTTCCCCCCACCTGTGAACTCGTTGAGAACAAGGACCAAGACCACATTTTGTTCATTTTCTGTCTGGCCAGGCACCGTGTAAATACCCGGTAAGTGCTGAATGAATGAAAGGACTTGAAAACATTCAGAGCGGTTGACTTGGTAATTCCACTTCTCGGAAAACTGCCTAAGGCAAGAGTTCTACA